AATACAACTATACGTAGCCAATGTTCTTCATGTATTCTTAAAATTATTTATTGGAAATATTGGTTTCCTTCTTTCTATTTTTTTTTCATTTCCCCGACGGTTCACCTCCTCATCGTGGCTGACAGGTGTTCCTGAGTGTCGGGCTGCGATGTACGGCGGGTGATTCACCCCTGGCAGGGTCTTCCAGGCTGAGAAGGAGTCCGGCGTTTCCATCACGATGCCTAGCTAAGATTAAACCAATACCAGGATGCACCACCATCTTGGCATTAAACTAGTCGCATGGGGCAATTTTCGCTCTGATCCACAAGTGCTGCGATTGCCTGTGGTAGTGAAGACCTGGGCAGATTTCGGCCTGGATGACCTCGGGCTCCAGGAAATCGCAATGGATAAACCAGCGAAGCTCTGAAATAGTGGGGATTGTACTGCGGCCCGCATTTCATTTATCAAGCCGTTAGGTTGTTTAGCAATCATTGAGAACTTGTTCTTTGAGAACTCCTATTCAACACATTGTTTTTTGTTTAAGGAAAACATTAGTTTAGAATTTATTTCATTTATCCCAACACTTCATAGAAAACCCAAACACAAAATGCGGGTAATGTTTAATGTCAAATGTCGTTAAGAATTTGGAAAATTCGTCCGGCTTGCATTTATTATAACTAGGAGGAATCTTTGCATAAACGGAAAGAAATGAATCATCGCTTAATTTACCGATCAGACGTGTTCAGTTTCGTGTTGACATCGGGGATGACCTTCATTGATGATCTTACGAAATGGCCTTCACCAGTTCGATGGGTAGTTTTTATGATTTTGCAAACGAGCAGACATTCGGTGGCCTTTGTTACTCATTAAATGTGCGGCTTTCATTTGACTAACACTTATAACATCGCTCCAGTCGAGGTGCATCGATTTCAATGCACGTGTTTTCAGAATTAATTGTAATCTGTCAGCTGTAAACAAGTATTTCTCAGCTCATGATGGACTCTTAAAATAGAAACCTTTGGATTCGCTGGCTTCTTCGGTTCTCTTTTGTCGACGCGCTATCTTAAGAGTGCAGAAACGGGATTTCATAGAGATGGAGACGATGCGTCCTATCCTGCTGCTTTACAATCTTTTCGAGCGCCTCACTTGTGTTGGAAATCCCAGGAATCTAAATTCCGAGTTCAATTTTTGAAAGTTTGATACCGAACCGAGACCAAAATCTTTTTATGGTGATACCTTATAGGTATCACGGCACTGTCTTCACTCGATTCTTTATTCGCAACCGCGAACGTTTCCGGACCTGTATTTTACCACTTTTTGAAGAGTGAGCCATTCTCTATGAACGCTATTGAACATTGGTCGATTTGATTCTTCCTGGAATTCTTGTATAGCCGAGCTATGGCATTCCCAGGTGTGTGCCACAGACAGCAGTCGGCCTGCCTTCATCGAACGTAATATACTGTTTCTCAATAAGTCTGGTATTAATTTTTTGACCTCGGAAAAAGAGGAAACTGGGTTACCCTAAAGAAAGGTCGAACTAAGGTTTCGTGCTTGCGATTTGATAGCATCTCTACCATCTCCAAATTATCTGGACTTGTTAAGAAACCAGCTCCCTCGTGAATGTGTTTATATGTGGCAATGGTACATGTATTCAAGTAAGAAACCAGGTTCTTTTTAGATACTTTAAAATAAGTTTTCGCACTACAGTCTTCCTTGAAATCTCAAATGTGCATGAATAAAACTGTTCCTGTCCTGATCCTCCTACGCTTCTCATGCGCTGTGTGGAGTTTGAGGTCGTGAAAAAAATCGAACATTGTTCGGTATGAATGTGTCGTTTTCTTGTTCAGCAATCGCGAGGTTTTTAAACAGCATACATTTACTTCCATAAAAACACAATACAATACAACAGTAGCTGACGTTTCGGCAGTATCGCCTTCTTCAGAGCCTGGAAGGGTATGCTGATATACAATCTACTAGGCCAAACGCTTCAATAACACTTACAAAAAGACGAAGAACTCTTTGGTAATTACACGATCAACAACTTCTCGAAAAACCCACCGCTTTTTCGTGACTTCCAATGAGGAAGTTTAGAACAGCTGATTATAGTCGCATGTGGTTGACGACTGCGCCATCCCACATCAAAAATTGATGCGAACGTACGGGATCAGGTCGCGTATGACCTCCGGGCATTCGTCCCTGCTATTCATTGTAGGGTTTTTGGCATTGATCCAAAAAGCCTCTAGGAGTTTTCGCGCTGGTGTTTTGGACTCCTGTGCAAGGATGTTGACTTTTTCTTCAAAATCGTCTCCGCTATGCTTTTGTATCCTATGCGTGCCTAGTGGGGTGCTTCGTCTTAGTTTTCGTTTGCCATCTAGGTGTTCTTTTACACGGATACACAAAGGTCTGCCCGTTTCGCCAATATATTCATCTCCGCAATTATTACAAGAGATCAGGTATATCGTACCTGAACTCATGCAATCATCGTCCCTGCCGTAAGGGCAAATTACGCAAGTTGTTGTTTCACACAGACGGTCATACAGTCGTCAACCACATGCGACTATAATCAGCCGTTCTAAACTTCCTCATTGGAAGTCACGAAAAAGCGGTGGGTTTTTCGAGAAGTTGTTGATCGTGTAATTACCAAAGAGTTCTTCGTCTTTGTGTAAGTGTTATTGAAGCGTTTGGCCTAGTAGATTGTATATCAGCATACCCTTCCAGGCTCTGAAGAAGGCGATACTGCCGGAACGTCAGCTACTGCTGTATTGTACTGTGTGTTTTTCTATGGAAGTAAATGTATGCTGTTTAAAAACCTCGCGATTGCTGAACAAGAAAACGACACATTCATATTCCAATGCCGAGGTTAAGAGAAAGTCGATCCTGAGAACTATTGTTCGGTATCTTTCCTTTATAGTTTCGCAGATAATCTCAGTCAAAAATTTTCGTTAAATCCTTTATTTTCTCAAAATAAATGGACGGAAACGTCAATCATGCCTTATAGTGAACTCACTTTCACCAAACGACCATCATTTAGCTTCTATTTTTACTTTAATAAGTGGTCTTCATTGTAAGTGATATTGCTGATACAAAAGGCTCAAATGTGAGTTGAAAAAAAGTTTGCCATTTTACTCTTGAACAATAGTCTCAGTTCTTCTTGCTTCGATTCTACACATAGACGCCATTGTTGGATAGATGAAAGCAATTTTATTTCTTTACTTTTTACTATTAGCCTTTTTGTTTAACGTGCTGCTCGTACGCCGAATATTTGTCGTACTTTCATTGAACCATCGCTTTGCTATTGCTATTCTTCTTATTTTCCTTTAAACAATCAGTACGCCAATGCTGTGTATCCTATGAACCGCCTTCGTTGGTTTTGTTGCGCTACAACTGTTATAAATGGTAACAGTAGGGCTTTAGCCGATGTTTGATGGCCTGGTGTGTTCCCATCTCGTTTAAATACTGAGTAGCTTTTATACATGTTTTTTCCTGAAATTCCGAAGAGTTGTGTCAGGGCGCTATGTAGACCTCGTCATAGGCCCTTTTCTGCATTTGTGGATCAGATAGAAATCATAGAAAGCGGTGAGTGTACAAAGAGGCTGTTCTGTGTTTAATACGACTGAAATCTTGGTTTAGCATTTTCTCTGCTTGGTTATGGAGGTGTTTGGTTGAGTAGATTGCTGTCAGCTCGACTTTTCCAAGCTCGGAAGTAGACGAAATTCGCCCAAACGTCAAGTTTACCGGAACAAAGAGTAGAATTGCTCCTCAAGTTTGCTCAGCAAGAATATAAGAAGCATCATAGATAACTGAAAAATCATCAGGAGAATGAAAGGTATAGGTAAATAAACAGCTAGAGAAACGTATGAAAAAGGAGGAAATGAAAAGAGGAAAAGTGCACAGTTTCTTCCTTCTTTACTGTCAATCACAGTTCGTCGTTGGATAGTTAGGTCGTAGCAAAGAGCCGAGAGCTTTATCCTTTATCCTTTGTACATTAACAATTAATCCATGAACACGAAATCTGGAACTGAAAGATAATCGTTAGCTTTTCATCTCTATTCAGGATACTTCTAGTAGCTTCACTGCTTCCTTTTTGCTCTTCTTTGGATATGGCGAATATCCTATTACGTTTCTACAATTGATTCCTATATCTGCATCATTAAAAAGAACTGAAACGTCAGCCGTAACGGCAGAATAGATTTATTCTTTCATTAATATCTAAAACGTTCGAAATCATTAACGGTTTCAAAGCAAAACTTTATGTACGTGAAAAGTTGCAGCTAAAAGAAGTGGAGTCCATTTGAACGGATTTGAAATAAGAAACCTTGCCAACTCAATCCTTCGAATCACTGAAAACTTAACTGGGTCGATATTGCTAACATTGTTACTTGATACTTGGTACTTGATACTTGAACGGCCCGTCATCACTAGTTGTGAGGTCCCCAGCACAATCACCATTTTTCGGAGATTTGCTGGCTAAGCCATTGTGGTTCTCTGGAATCCCGAGGACAGCCTGGCCAAAGTCTGCCCCAGGTTTTCACCACCACAGCCAGTCGCAGCCGTTGTGAACCAGAGGGAGATTTGCCACCATGCGACTTTGACACTAGAGTGGTGGTGGATCTTGGTGTTGGTTTACTCTTAACTAGGCTTCCTGATGAAAACGCCAGCCTCTTTCTCAGCTTGGGGGACGAATCCTCCCGCTGTACATCGCAGTCCGACACCCAGGGGCACCTCCCAGCCACGATGAGGCGGTAAACCGTTGGGAGGTTATCATTATTGTTGCTATTATTATTGCTATTATTACTATTATCGTTTTCATTATTATCGTCTTTATTATTATTGTCTTACACAGTTATTCCCGATGTATTAGATCTATCGAAGATTTTCGATTTGCTGCAGAACAAACAGGCCTAGGTTGTCGTCATTACCATTGGTACTGTTTTGTTACTCGGTTTTTCAAAACCTTTTCCCGTTCCTTCATCGTACTCACTCGTTCTCTTACTTTCCAAATAGAATAATTTCCGTTTTAGATCTCCTATAATAGTAAAATGACCGTCTCGTACAATTTGGACATCTCATCAGTGACAACACTGTCGTTCGTTCGTCTTCTCTTCCGATGGCGTGGCTCTATATGGAAATCGGTAGTCGTCGAGCTAACGATATGGATAATTTCGTTCTTGATTATCTCGTACGTGTATCGATATGCAATGGATGAAGATGAAAAGAGGTGAGCGGGAAGAAATTTTTTTAGACTTAGCATAAAGAAGTTTGATTGGATGGAAAAAAATATTTTCCTTTTCGTTTTGCTGTTAAATACAGTCCTTGTGTAACTAACGTTATTTCAAACATCATAAAAGGGACATTTTCGAATTCTGAAACGGACAAGCCGCAGTGATTGAGATATGCTAAGCATTTTCTCGCTAAAATTTGAAGTCCGTGCAGAGTTTGTCCGACTTTTCATTGTCTTCGAATATTCAAAAAGGTGTTCGAAATTCAGAATATTCGAGAGGCTGGCAGCCTACTGTGATAAAAAGCTCGACTACATTCCGCTTACGTTCATGCTTGGTTTCTTCGTGACCATAGTCGTCGATCGATGGCGTCAAATTTTCAGCAACATGGGTTGGATAGAAGAGTGATTTATTTCTTCATTAATTTTGCTGAAATATTTCTTACTGCAAGTGTTCCATAAAGCTGCATGTGCCCTCATTTTGTTTTATTTCCTTAAATTTTGTTTTACGCTCATTACTCTCTCTAACATGCACGGAAGAGATGCTGCACCTTGTTGCGATATTCGGGAGACTTGGACCCTGGGCCAGTCGAACCATGATTATCCTTTTCGGGTGCTCGCGTATTAGCCACTGCACCACGGACGCTATTGCTTTGCATTTCTCTCAGCTACTTTTCTACCTAACGCTGCCATCAGCAATCACCCGTCAGTGAAATTTATCTAGGGAGCACTAATCGGCAGTGAACCCAGTTAAGCTGAGAATGTAGTCGAAATTACAATGTTAACCTTTTCTTTTGAAACTAGCTCAAAGAAACACAAAGCAAGGGCCTCCGTGATGCAGTGTGTAATACGCGAGCCCCCGGGAAGGGTTTCGTGGTTCGATCTGTCCCGGGGTCCAAGTTTCGCTAATATCTCACCAATGTTGTGGTTGTGCTTCATATCATACCCTGCCGTGAAAAATTGTATTAGGCAGCAAATAAAAGGTTAACGCTGTAGCTATATTCTATCCTGAAAGTAAGAAAAAATGAAATGCACAACGTTAACTAAATGGATTTCAGGCAACAGTCAATAAATGTTTGAGTCTACTTATCGATTTTCTGATAGCTTTTAAGAGATCACACTTTTTTTTAGTGTCGCCTTAACAATTGCTACACTGATACGAGGTGATAGCAAAGAAATAATACTTACACGTCGTACAATAATCCGATATATGGTGCTTTCGCAGGTAGGTGATAATTTCCTTCCTGAGTTTTCTTCACTTTCAATGGTCTTCAAAATTTACAGGGAATGAAGACTTTCTAGGTTCTAGTTTTTCGCGATATATCGATGCGGGTGAGACGACGTTTTCCTAATATGGAATCCATCGTAACGGCCGGTAACGTATTCTCCTCGTCTAATTCCTGTCGATGAATTCCACAAAAAATCTATTTCTTCAATAAAATGATATAATATGTCATCTATGTTTTATCCACTTTCTGTAGAATGAATTTTAATGGTTACAAAAATCTCACTGCTTTTACAAAATGTACGCGGTAGTTAGACGGTGCCCTGAAATAAACACGGTGTCGTAGGTTCGATTCTGGGCCCCACGCATGCCAATCCCACTGTCTCTTCGCAGTCAGCAAGTTGGTACGAGATTTGTGTTGGTAATAACAAACACCGACTTTTTGCATTGGAGGCCACTGTAAGACATTGTGTAAGCCAAACATGCATACAGTAACTCCTACACCATCCTAAATCGCGCCCTGCCTATATCGCATCCTTAGGCGACTCACCAATTCCCGGAAGTTTTATCCTTGTTTTGCAGTTGATATTTGGATACTTGGATATTTGGAGTGCCCAGCTTAACTGATTTTGCTGGCAGCAGCATAATTTCCATTCTCCTGAGTTTAGTTTGTTTTGCCACTATGCTGACCTGAAGTCCCCAGGTCAGTCTAGCCGAAGCCTTTCTCAGGTCGTTACGACCCCAGACAGTCGCAGGTCCTTGTTACTCAGAGGGAGATATGCCACTTTGCGATTGGTTTGATACCAGGACGGTGGTGGATCCTTGCATTGGTTTATTTTTAGCTGGTGCTCCCAGTGGAAACGCCGGAATGCTTCGCAGTTGGGGAGATCCTGCTGTGGGGATGAATACCCTCGCCGTACATCGCACACCGACACGCAGAAACAGCTCCTAGCCACGACGAGGCGGTAAACAGTCGAAAGGCTTGCAATATATATGTGTGTTTATCACCATAACACTCTGCTGATAACAAAGAGCTTAAATCTATAACTTGCTCGGAGCATCAGGCAAAATCTGCTTCGATTGAGATGGCACTGATTGGACACTACGCTAATTTTCTCTCTTTTTTTGGCTAGACTCTCAAGATAGCCGTGACAGGGCGTTCTCGGGTCGTCACTATTGACATTTGTGATTTTGAGGTACCTTTATCATTATGAGACAGACGTCTTCCGAAACGATAATATTTCTTGGCCTAGGTTTACTTCCCGCTAAGCTTCCATATGTTCCACACTATGCTGAGCGTGGATAGCTCCTGCAGTGTAAGAACACAATGTCGGAGTGGACCTGTTGAGGGTGGCATGAATAACAGAAGTTGAACAGAAAGTTGAAGTAAGCTAAGAACCCCCAATATGTGATACAGCTGTGATTTCAATCGTCCATTTGGGAAATTCGTATCTCTTTAAAAAAGCCACAGAAACCATTTCAAAAGTGTGACAATGTCTATTATCGTTACTAAAACAACACATGTGATATCACCATTTAAAGGCTTCCTACACGAGAATGAAAAAGTTGAACTGGAAAAAATCGACATTGTCTACAATAAATACTGGGCTCCTGTTAATTGGGCACTCACACTGGTTTTTCGTGCCCACAAGGATGGACACATTGCTGCTCCACCGTCAATGAATTCATGCATAAACGTAAGTGGTTTTGTTACTATTTAAATTAGAAATAGTTCCTGACAAACTATGACTGGAAAGTGGTAGAGCTTGCTTACAGAGAAAACCTTGCAGAAATGATCTACGAGGAATCTCCCAATGATTTTCGTAAGGCTTGTAGTAAAAGGTGCCATAAAGTAGGTTATCCTGTTTGGAATTACCAACCAACAGGCGAAAAGCTACGTTATGGCAGTCTCTGTGAGTGACAAGAGTTTTCTGGAAACAAACACTGACGAAAACTAAATAGCAGACGAATTAAATGTGCTCAGTACCGCTAACAAGTCGAGGAATGGAGAAGACTGTCCAAGGTTCAAGAACTTTAAGTAGTTGACTGGCTTCAAAACCTCTGTGAGTTATTCAAAGCTGGTTGTTCTACCTATCTTAGCTATCTGAATGCTCTTTATGGGAATTTAAGCCTAAGAGAAATTTCGCTCGTATTACATACGGTTGGCATTCTTAGTTATTTGTCAGTTAATTAGTTATTTGACTACGTATAGTAAGTTACTGTCGTGGTTGTTCGGACGAGCGTTATCAGAACAGCAAACTCTACTTTCAATACATTCTCTTGAAACTATTGAGAAATTTCTCTCAACAGCACTTGAACGTACGTACCTAAGATGGGCGATGTCACCATAATGTGTGGCGGTTGGCCTGCCTTAGAAACACGATAAGCAAGATCACTGCCCAACTAGTTGTATGTTATATTGACTGCGTTGACTTGCAATCACTTACCTCTAACCTTGCAATCGTCTTCATTATTAATAGATCAGTAACTTCGAGAAATAAAGTAATTCCAAACTATGGAATATGTTACTGTGATCCAGCTCTCTGGGAGCAATCATGTTTTCTCATTGAAGCCTTGATGAATTCAGGAAATCAAAACATTTCGAGCAAAACTCGCTCAATTGTGTAACTACGACTGGGTGCCAATTCCTATCGCATACCCACAAGTATGATAGTTTTTCGTATGTTTCTTGGATGTTACGACTTCGATAATCTCCTTTAACTACATTTAGTTCTACACGCGTATGTTGTAGCTATGTATTATATATGAAATTGTGGCAAAATAATCATGTTTGAAAAGAAGAAATCTTCGCTTTACATTACAGAACATGCAAGAATTAACGTTTCAGGTTGTGTTTCTGGCCGTTCGCGTTTACTTCTTGATATGTCTTGTTTCACGTCAATACATACTTAGCGATGAGGCCAACAATAGAAGTGTGGTAAGATTCATTGCACATGAAACTAAAATAATCCGACCTCGGACTGTTGGGAGCGCACTGGTTAGGGACGCCGTCCAATACATGCATGAGCCGTTGGTTCAATGTTTTCACAGCGTTGATCAATCCTCCCATTGACGTCGATCAATGCGATACATTTGAAATATGACCGGCGTGTGTAGCGCAGTAGTTAGAGGCGCTCTGCAATAAACATGGGATCGATCTTGCACCATAGACAAACCATGGTTCCCTCCCTTCTAGATCAAAAATTGGAACAGGACTTTTCTGGGAGGATACCAGCACTAACTCGATACATCGATAGGCCACCATGAGTCATTGTAAAGGCCAGATATGCATTCAATCACCTCCAACGATGCTAAATGAAGTCGAGTGCATGGCGCATCATTCACGTATTGCTCAACGCCGATAGCTTTATCCTTCTCCTACCTATATTTACATAACGCCATGGATCTCCCTCATATAAGGGATCCCGATAGCCGGTTTTAGACGCGAGGCTACGTGGCGCGTCCCGAGGTGGCGGAAAGGGGCTAATCGAGGACCAAAGCGACCTTTGGTTCCATGAGACGCAGGTGGATCCAGGGGATGGACTCCCTGTTTCTGCTGCGTCGATTTGGCACATATTTTCTGTATATGCTAGGCGTATTCATGCATGCGTGTGTGGGAGCGTTCTTGCTTGTGCGGATTGTATTCTACGAGTCAATTCGGCCAGAAGCCTGAAATCAAGTGACTGGGAAGTATATGGGAGGCGGTTAGGATTCCCCTCAAGCAAATAGGCTCCATGTCCACTCTGGAAAAGCCTGGCAAGACACCTGTGAGTGTATCCAGCTCCACGTTCAGGGCCCAGGAAACTACTAAACGTGGGTAACAAAAAGCTGAAAACAGTAAAGGAAACGGACCTTATTCCCTGACCCCGAAAGAGCCCCCAATTTGGCAGCGTTGAGAAGGACGAGTAAAGAGAGGCTACTAAAATCTGAGGGCCAATGGATGCTAGCTGGACTGCAAAGAACAAAGGTGACGATCTGTACTTACAATGCATGCACACTTACATCCGAGTCCTCGATAAAAGACTTCCTCATGCAAGCAAGAAGGATAAGGTACGACGTCGTCGACCTGGCAGAGACGGGACGACTTTAACCATTTAACGCCGTCTATGGCACTGGAGAAAAACTGTTCCTCGGAACACGCGACAGTAGAGAAGTCGGCGGCGTGGGCGTTCTCGTCAGCATGAGTTTGTCCATGAATATTGATTCATTCGAAAAACTTACAACCCGAATCCGACGTTTACGATTAAGAAGACGACATAGACCAATACCGGCTTTGACAATCTCCGTCGTTTATACGCCGACATCAAGCTATGACGATGAACTCGAAACGTTTCATAGGGACTTGGAGAAGTTCTACAGTGAAGACTTCGAGGTTATGCAACACCAAGATTGGACCAAGAAAAGCGTCTAAAGAACGTCGCTTTGGGAGCCACGGATTCGAATGGAACGAAGAGGCTCTCTGTGTTTATCATGACAACCAAGACCATCCTTGGTAACTGGCAATTCCAGAAAGACCCACCCTCAACACTGGATGTGGGAGTTTCCCAAAGGAGAGTACCATAACAAATTAGGCCAAATCATAGTAAATAAACGGTTTTGCCTAACCGATATCGCTGCTGTCCCAAAATTCTAAACGGGATTAGACAATCACGTCCTTCGTGCAAGATTCTATTTCTCGTGGAAAGGAGAAAAAGCCGCTAAATTCAAAGACCGAAATCCCAGAACCACCATAAACAGGGACTCATCCAATTTATTAGTCGGCCGTTGGGAACATGTCGTTGTCGGTAACATCGACGAAGAATACGATGGGCTAATTCAACATTTTCGCGTCAACGCTATGAAAGCTTAGAGCTCGAAAGTCGCCAAGAGACGCCTATCTCCAGAAACACTCGAGCTGATACCCCAGCGTGGAATCGCACGAGCTGTAGGCAACCGCAAACTAACGTCCGTACTTGCTAAACAATGCAGAAAGGAGATAAAAGAAGATCTTAAGAAGCGGAGAGCAGCAGTAGTGGTCGAAGCTGCAGAGACTGGAAAACACTCGCAAAGTCACCGAAGCTTCGCCAATTGCAAAACCAAGATGATTGCACTCCGACGCCCAGATGGAACAGTTACAGCGTCCAGAGAGGTAATGGAGAAAATCATTCACGAATACTACTCAGATCTCTTCGATAGCCATGTCCACCTTCCATCATATGAAGCAAAGGAGGATAGATATGTTGTACCACAGGTTCACCCCTTCGAAATCCAACATGCCATTTCGTCGGTGAAAAATCGAGCAGTACCTGGTCCGGACAGGATAAGATCAGGACACTTGATGAGCTTTCCGCCCGTCCTCGTAAACACACTGGCTCGGTTCTTCGCACGTTACCTGTCTGAATGCGATGTCCCTACTCAGTGAAAGACCAACAAGACCGTGTTCTTGTTCAATAAGGGTGACCTACACTATATCGGAAACTATCGCCCAATCTGCTTGCTGTCTATCGTCTACAGACTTTTCACTCGAGTCACCTAAACAGGATTGACAAAACACCGGACGAAGGACAGCCATGTGAGCAAGCATGGTTTCGAAAAGGATTTAGTCCGATAGGCGACACCCACACAATAACAAGACTCATTGAAGTATCGCGAGGGTACAAAAGACCGCTCTGTCTCACTTTCATCGATTTAAAGAAGGCGTTTGACTCAGTTGAGATAGAAACAGTCATGGAAACTATTCATAGTCAAGGAGTCCCTGCTTAGTACATAAAAATTCTTCGTGAGCTATACGAAAATTTCACAACCAAGATATCACCATTCTACAACGATATTAACATTAACGTCAAAAGAAGAGTTAGGCAAGGCGATAGCATCTCGCCAAATTCATTTACCGCCACCCTCGAGAACGTCATGCCAACATTGGAATAGGAGATCATGGGAGTGAAATTCGATGGTCATCAATTACACCATCTTCGGTTTGCTGATGACATCGTCCTTATAACGCCAAACATTCGCCAAGCTGAACGTATGCTTGACGACTTTGATAATACCTGTGGAAAGATTGGTCTTTGACTAAATCTCACAAAAATGTTCATGAACACGGATTGGTTTCTCATGCCCCATTAACGCTTAATGGAACGAATACCTCCGAATGCTCCAGTTATATCTATCTAATTCGGGAAATCAATATGATGAACGACCTAGCTCCAGAGCTGAGCAGAAGAAAACGAGCGGCTTGGAGAGCTTTGAAGAGCATCGAGGATGTAGTGAAGAGAACAAGGAATACCCCACTCCGTGCCAACCTTTTCGACTGAACGGTACTTCCTGCCCTAACGTATGCGTCACAAACCTGCTCACTGCGTAAGCAAGATGAAAGGTCAGTCATCGTTATCGAACGCGCAGTCGAAAGGACGATGCTAGGAGTATCCCTTTCCACAGTAAGGGGTGGGATCCGAAGCTCCGATCTGCGTCAACGTTTCAAAAGTCGAAGATGCCGTTCTGCGCGCCCAACATTCGAAAATAAGGTGGGCTGGAAACGTAATGCATATGAATGACAACCGATGGACAAGAGCCGTTAATGACTGGATTCCTCGAGATGTCAAACGTACTGCAGGAAGGCCACCGACCCGATGGTCAGAGTTCTTCACTAAGAGCCTTGAAGAAAGATATGATGCTCAAAGAGTCCCTAGAGAGAGGAAACCCACTGGGCTACTCTTGTAAGCAACAGGGAAAAATGGAAGATTTACTGGCGTCCGCTCGAGTTACTCGACGATCAACGGGACCACAGGTGATGTATACGAGGTGGATAGCAGAGTGATAGTGAAGTCCGTCATCACGAGCATGGTACTAGTTCGATTCTCCTCCGGCCACCCAAGCCTCTCATCGCTCCGAGGTCGGGAAATTGGTACCGGTCTTGTCTGGGAAAAAAATCACTCTCTGCAATTGCTATCTCGGGAGTCCAGAGAGAATTGCTCAACCAGCATTCTACGACAATCAAGATTAAATGAAAATCCTCAAGCAGCAACCGAAGCCACGCGTGAAGTTGGAAGATCTTCATGCATAATGGATGCCAGGAGACGAAACGAACCTGAGCAGTGCTGGGATCCGCACAGTAGACGTGAAGACGGGTCATATAAAATGAAATGAAAAAGATATATAGCCTACTTGAGTCCCTCCTATTCTTACAATTTCCTCTTTAGATTGATCTCTACGTACCCTTCATGACGATCCTCCAGTTTGTCTTCCTTGTTGGATGGATGAAGGTATATAAGAAAATTCTCTCCATTGAATATAGTTGTACTTACATATTTACATTCAACTGTATTACTGTATTTCAACTGTATGTATCACTGCCGATCAATCGTTTATCGTAGAGATTTCCATTAGATTCATGCTGTCATGAACTCATGAAAAATGCAGCAGAATTTTTAATCGTTAATGACCAAGGAGTAATTGAATTCACCATTTCTATGCACAAGTCAATTAAGTCCTAACAATGTAAGATCGATAGCGGCATTTATAGCGCCTGTCACGAGTAGGTTGTTCGTGAGCTCAAGGCGGGAAGAGTCGTGTGATGGAAATGATGACATGAGTCGAGCATGGTGATCTTCACTTTTGGAACAAAAGTTCAGAATTAAGAAGAACGCCAAACGTAGAGGGAACGCCTTCGTTAGATCCAGATATAAAATAATGTAAACAGACTGGTCATCAATAGCCAACATTTGTTCCGCTTCTTCAAATCTTCATCCTTAGGCATAACCGGTTATCACCAAATCATTTACAACCACAATCTTATTTAACGTAATCTTTCATCACTTGGAGTGCCAACTTTTTTAACATTTTCACTAAATGACAGCTCCCATAGATATTTTAACCACTTGTAACTATCTAGTAAAGAACTTGAAGCCCGAACTACTTGGTAATGTCGTCCAATTCTGATAAAAGCATTCTCCATACGCTTTCGATATTGATAAAGATAAATATCACACTGTGAACGTAACAGAGAGCACAGGAGGTATTACTAGAAGGTGACTACTACCACATTTCTTATGAATTTTATCACAACTCCTTTCGTTTCCATCGTAACAATGGCTA